TTGCAGTTCCACTTGTACCTCCACTCGTTTGTGTTTCCCCTGTAGTATCTGTTGATCCAGAATCAGTTTCATGGGTTCCGGTGGTTGTTCCACTTGCGTCTCCACTCGTATGTGTTTCTCCTGTAGAAACTGTTGAACCAGAATCAGTACCATCTGTTCCTGTTGCTGTTCCACTGGCACCTCCACTTGTTTGTGTTTCTCCTGTAGTATCTGTTGATCCAGAATCTGTTTCATGGGTTCCGGTTGCTGTTCCACTGGTACCTCCACTCGTTTGTGTTTCCCCTGTAGTATCTGTTGATCCAGAATCAGTTTCATGGGTTCCAGTGGTTGTTCCACTTGCGTCTCCAGTTGTGTGTGTTTCTCCTGTAGAAACTGTTGAACCAGAATCAGTACCATCTGTTCCTGTTGCTGTTCCACTGGCACCTCCACTTGTTTGTGTTTCTCCTGTAGTATCTGTTGATCCAGAATCAGTTTCATTGGTTCCGGTTGTTGTTCCGGTTGAGCCTCCTTCACTTGTCTCCGACCCACCTGGTGAATGAGAAGTTCCGGAGCCTGTACTGTCAGTATCACTTGTTGTTCCAGAAGTGTCTCCACCTACTTTGGTTCCTTCAGTAGGACCAGTTGGGCCACTTTCAGAACCTTCTGTTCCGGTCGTTGTTTCAGCATCAACTTCACCTGGACCGACTATCGTACCAGAATCCGTTATTACATGTTTGCTACACAATTCAGCGCATATGAGTCGAATCTGATAGTTCAAACATGTTTGTCCTTCATTATTCGAACATCTTAAACCAAAGCTTGTGTCGCACTGCACAACTTGTGATGTCTTGTCATATGCAATTCCATCAATTGTTTGACATTGGATTCCAGTAGGTTTCTGACAGCTTATGGTTGGATATCGTGCAAAGATTTCTTCAATAGATTCATTCTCGTATACCACTGAGGCTGATATATCACCACCATTTTCATCGTCGAACCATTGAGTCCAACAATATTCTATAAAGATAAAGGAAATACTGTTTACAAGTTTTTTGTATCAGTTATTTGGTAGATGAAAGAGGTATGAAAGAACATGTGCTTGAAAAAGGTGCAGATTTCTTATTTAATTCTATTTTTATTATTAGGCTATGATACAGTAAGTATATAACAAATGTAGATTAATTTTAAGAATGTAATGGTACCTGTTACAGTAGTTGTTGATCCACCGGTAGTTCCACTCGATTGGGAACCTCCTGTAGATCCAGAGTCTGTACCTTCTGTTGTGGTTGTTGTTCCACTGGTGCCTCCAGTTGTTGGGGAATCAGCTGTAGAGTCTTTTGTACCAGCATCAGTACCATCTGTTCCGGTTGCTGTTTCACTGGTACCTCCACTCGTTTGTGTTTCCCCTGTTGATCCAGAATCAGTTTCATGGGTTCCAGTGGTTGTTCCACTTGCGTCTCCAGTCGTGTGTGTTTCTCCTGTAGAAACTGTTGAACCAGAATTAGCACCATTTGTTCCAGTTGCTGTTCCACTGGTACCTCCACTTGTTTGTGTTTCTCCTGTAGTATCTGTTGATCCAGAATCAGTTTCATGGGTTCCGGTTGTTGTTCCGCTTGAGCTTCCTTCATCCGTTTGAGATCCTCCTGTAGAACTTGTTCCTGAATCTGTACCATCCGTTTCGGTTTTTGTTCCACTGGCGCCTCCAGTTGTTTGTGAACTTCCCGTAGAGTCTGTTGACTTTGTACCTTCACCATTTGATCCGGTTGTTGTTCCACTTGAGCTTCCTTCACCTGTCTTTGACGCACCTGTACCGTCAGTACCAGCTGTTGTTCTAGAGGTATTTCCACTCTCCATTTTGGATCCTTCTGTAGAACTAGTTGAGCCGGTTTCAGAACCTGCTGCTCCGGTAGTTGTTCCAGCATCAACTTCAGCAGGACCGACTATGACATCAGAATCAGCAATTATATGTTGGCTACATAATTCAGGGCATATCAGTCTAATCCTGTAGTTAAAACATGTTTGTCCTTCACTATTCGAACAACTTAAGCCAAAGTTAATATCACATTTTACTGTTTGTGATGTCTTATCATATGCAAGTCCATCAATTGTTTGACATTGGATTCCTGTAGGCTTCTGACAGCTCATGGTTGGATATTGTAAAAAGATATCGTCGATAGATTCATTCTCAAATGCAACAGAAGGAGATATATTGCTACCGTTTTCGTCGTCAAACCACTGTGTCCAACAATACGCTGCAATAAATACAAATATTGGCTTTAAATTGTAGGAATATTATATTATAGGAAATTTAGGTGTGTATTTATAATATACATTCTTTTAAGTTCATTTTAATTTTAAATTTATTATTGTTTGCCCGTTCCATTAAATTATCTGTCATTCTGTGTATTATTTTTTTTAGTATATCTTAATTCTTTTAAGTTCATTTAAAGTTTAAAGTTATTATTTTTTGCCCGTTCTGTTAAATTATCTGTCATTCTGTGTATTATTTTTTTAGTAAATCTTAAAAAAAACTCACCGTTTCCCATGTATGACCATGACACCTTATAACCACCAATGACAGTCCAGTATAATTCATAATAATGATAACTATATTGAATACCTGTAAAGAAAATGTTCATGGAATACCTAATAGTAAATTCACCATAGAACGTGTGCGAATACTAATTTGTGAACATTGCATTTTATTGATGATTGATTATAAGGATAATAAAGAATAATCATATCGTTGCTATGGTTTTTTATAATGAGAATAATCCTTGATGATGATGTACAGTAAGTGTTGACGATAATGAAGATGACTGACAGTAGTGATTAGTGTCATTTTTTGTAGATGTGAAGCACTCTGCCTTTTACCCGCATGTACTCCTGGAAGGAGAGAGAATAGTAAAAAAAGGCATAGTCGAACATTGAACTTATTTCCATTTATCTAGATTACTATAATTTTGAAATATGAAATGTGTATTGGTAGATGCTTTTACTAATAACCATCTAGTTATGTACATTAGGATTAGCAGTGATTTGTGTGACTAAAACAAGGTTAAGGATTGTATGTTTTAACGGTCATACTACAAGCACTTTATCTGGCAGATTGTGATGGTAATAATGATGATGACGATGATGATGGTAGTGGCGGTGGAGTTGGGATAACTGATGAGAGTATTTATTGGTCACTGTATGGTTGATAATGGTAGTTATAATACTGAATGTAATGCTGATAGTCATGGTGGTGGTGATTGACGTTATGTTGTCAATTTCGATGATGATGATGATGATAATGAAGATAAAGAGAATAATGACTAGGAGTGGGTGATTTTTTTTTTTATATTTAGGCACATACTGTAGGCTAAGCATTGCTATATAATATGTAATAATTTGAACATCAAAATTATTTGTATTATTGAATAATCCAACAGTTATCTTTTCATAAAACACCAAAAGGCCTTACCATAATATTGTGCAACTGGATACCCGTTGCAACTTGGGCATTCCATATCAGGTTCAATACAGACTCCATTGTATAATAATGAATTCTTAGGGCAGCAACCTTCTATACACATACCACCACAGATATCGACACATGGGCTGTACATAAGACAGGATTCTCCACCGTTACATTGCATTGCTAAAATGAAACACAAATTTTTACTGGCTTTTCTGCTACGCCATAAAAGGTAATATTTTTGTTACAAATCGCTCTATAACCTATCACATGCATGTACATGCAAGATCTTCTCAGACTACGCTCATCCACTTGTTCCCGAGCACTCAGATCAACTACAGGTGCATCAACTTTGATTGTTCCTAGGTGCCATTCGAAAACATATGGTGAGAGTTCACTTCGTGTTAGGCTCCAAAAATGTGGAATGCACTACCCGTTGAAGTCCGTGAATCTGCGTTAATTGACATCTTTAAGAAGCGACTCAAAACTTTTCTATTTGCATCTTTATAACTACTTTTTTTTTTTCAATTTCTCTGTTTCACTTCGCTAGCTGGTGTTGTTTGTTCCAAGTTAGGAGGCACCTGATCCCAGAAAAGATCAAGACTTAACCGATGCTAACCGGAGTACATAAACACAGATCTCCGGTTGGCGGTGATGGTGTAATCCCATTCTTCGGTTTGGGTGCTAGCTTTGTGTTTTTTTTTTCCCGGCTTTTTTCTTTGTTTTCTTGACTTCAATATTGTTAAGCGCATAGAGACCTTGTTTAGTCCTTTGGTCACTTTCCAATACTTGTTTCTGCAGAAAGGAACTCCACATCTCAGAAGATGTGTATAGAGTTTCATTTCTTATAAATATATATAATTTTTTTTTTAATTTTATTTTTAACTTCGTTATTTTTTGCTTTTTTTTGTGCCTTTTTATTCTGCTTTTAATTATTTTATAGTCAATTTGATTTTAATAAAAATTTTTATTTATATAATATATTTATATGTAATAATTTCTTTTTTATATTTCCTTTGTTACTTGTGTTATGTATTGAGGGTCCCTAATGATCAGCTCCGGCTGGATGGACCACCCCCGTAAAATATTGTTGAAATAAATAAATTTCTTTCCTGAATTTGGAGGCTATTAACATACTGTACTTGCTGTTGAATTTATTTTAGATACAGTACAGGAAATTAACACAGTGTTTTGGTTGTATTTTACTTAAAGGTTTGAAAAATGTCATAGTACTTACGACATAGTTTATCAGACCTCCATGAAATGTGCACACCATTGTCGTTACATTCTTGGGCGTACGCAGCAATAGCAGTACATGTACATTCACATTCACCACCAAAATCACAAGCACATGTATCGGAGACACATTTCTCATAGAAAGGTTCTGGAGAAACATGACCGTGGCATACTTGAAACGTTAATCCTGTGATAACGCTGCATTTTTTCTGTGCCCACAACTTCATATGTGAAGAAGACGCACAAGAGTCTACCTCAATTGGGCTCGTATCAGGACAGGTTCTATGCACCTTCGAAAAATATAATCAAATATAATAGATAATCAGAGATGCTTCGATTTAGTTACTGTTATATTGACCTTATCTAATCATGTATTTTCTGGAGTGTCTACTGCTTATAACTTATTAAACAACCGTTGACATTGATATTCCATAAAAAATTGCTCGATCTTCAGTCGTTCTGTGAAGACCCCGCCACTAAGCCGCCGCTACAAAATGACCGTTCCTTTAATTTTAACCATACACTTTTCGGCAAACTGTAAATAAATGCCCTTCCCCTTTAGAAAGTCATTTGATATTAATTTAAAATACTGATGCAATAAAATACCTAAAAAATTATTGTAAATATAAATTGTATGAAATAAAGTGGCAACATTTTTACAATTATAAAATTGAATACAGGATGTTTCATTTGAATACACTTAAATATACATCAACGTATTATATTAGAGATCGATTAAAAGATTTCATAAACACACATCTATATTTTGGAGAGGGGAAGGGGACAACAACATGTATTTAGCTTCAAAATGTGTTATTTTGTGATCATAAAAATTATTAATCGGAACCAAGTTAAAAAAATATATAACTCTACTGTAGTAGAACATAATAGAAAATGTTGGCAACGATGTTGCTTCTATAAAATTTTTTTAGGGGGTGTTTATTCGAGAAAAAGTAAACACCTGGGGAATATATTTGAGGGAGGCGTTTATTCCAAATGAGGCACTAGAGAGGTTTTTTTTAGGGTGTGTCTATTCAAAGCGGGGCGTTTATTCAAATAAATACGGTATTTAAAAATAATCAAAAGCATGGTGAACACATGCTGAAGAAAAACACCATCTACTTTCATATAATACGAACATACCTTCCAGCTGTTTCCGAATTCCAATGATGATATGACATCCAGTCCGTCTCGTGTTTGAAAATCGTTTGACTGATCTCCATCGAAATTGCCACACAACCCACGAACCTATGGCAATGATAGAAATAAGAAGTTTACATATTTTACTTATTTGTATTTATTGCACTACATTGTATGACACAAATTAAACAAAACATGAAGGTTTATCAGGATCATCATAACTAATGTTAACTGGTAAATTTTATTTTAAATTGGAAAAAAGCATTACATCACAATACATGTGATAATGTGAGGTAAACTTTGCAAAAAGGGATGGCAATCACTAAATTACTATTTTTTTAAAATAATTAAGTAAAAAATTAAATAATACCTTGTTTCTTAGGAAAGGTTGAGCCTTAACTTGTAACCATGTTCCTCTGTTCCATAAAACTGAGTAGCCAAGACATGAGTCCACAATCACATATTTACCACGCTGCTTGACATTGAATCCATTGTGACTTGGTGCAATCACAGGCGCACCTTGTACAAGCCTTAACGTATTCCACACATCTGTAACTGAATAACAAATTTAGGCTTAATTAGTGATATTTCATAATAAATATAATTGCAACGAACTACCTTCTGTTTCAAAAAGTATAATTCCCTAAAACTTAAAATAAAAATAAATTAATGTGATATATAGTATTTATAATTTTTATGAATAAAGCTGTATCGGATCCAAACCGAAATCCAAAGCCCTGAACACCAGAGTCCCTATTAATACACACTGATCCGGTTTTCTGATCGGTATTGTAAGCTTTTATAGAACCTAAAAATCAAATTCTGTGTATCTGCACCTTAATTATAATACTGCAGTACAGTACCGACATACATTTTGACAATGTCTTTTTCTATTCCAAGTATAATGAACATCTGATAATGCCATAAGATTTTGTCAATGATATTTCCTACATTCTCACTATATATCAAATAGAAAAGCATAGAGGTTTTAATTAAAAGAAATTATGAAATACCTTGATCATACTGCTTAATGATGATAGCTTTGAGACATGTCAAGCCAGAAGAGCTACACACTTGATTTCGTATTCCAATATTGAATTTGATCTTCTTATCAAAATCATCTACGCTGATAAAATCATATTGACAGTCGCCAGTAAAGTCGAACATTCGGCCATCAAAACTTTTAAAATGTGAATCACCCCACGCCATACAGGAACCTTAAAGCATATAATAATACTGTAGTTAAAAGATGAGAACACTAGGGAACAGACTTGGAAAGTAGAAAAGAAGGTACATACAGTGTATTGTATTTTAAAATGTATCATGTTAGGTTAGGTTGTATTGTCTTGTTTACTTGTGAATTTGTGTTTTTATCTCTATGGTTAAACAATTTTACTACAGTACATCCAGGTCTTCATTTTAAAGGCACATTAGAGTTTAATGAAGGTCCTTTTCATCTTTTATCCAATTTTTAAATATTTTTTTATTTGTAAATTGAAAATGATTTGATGATGAAAAAAGAATTTGATTGAATTCAATTCAACTGTTTAAAATGTGATCCTCAAGTTCTTTCACATCGCATTGACAAACCCAATCATGTATTCACATCGAGCATTACAAAAAGATGGTTTACAGTTTATCTCTTTATCCTAAATCTTTATTGGCAATCATACAATCAAGCATCAACCAACACAACAGTTACAAGAAAATAGGACAAACATTTGCTAAGGGGCTGGTAGCAGACTCGAAGCCCATTGTGTTTACCAGCCCCTTTTCAATAATATAAAAATCAATCATTAGGTATTATATAAACAGCTGACAAAGTGCTTGAATATAGAAACAATTTATGTTAAAATTGTATCAACTATCCGATCAATATTAGCACTTGATATACAGTATATAAAATTATTTATCCCACTTTCATATACAGAAAGAATGCATTTTATGTAGGCCTGTGTTAGTGGCTATAATGTAAAGATACAAAATGAAACAGAACAAATTATTTTATATTTACCTTGACATTCTGTATCGTTACAAGTCCACTTGCCACCGGAACAAAAGCTGAAAGTAATTAATTCTAGGTTTTTATTTTAACAAAATATTACGGTGTTTTTTACCATTGTCAACTTCACAAATTTTTACAAATAGAATTGTAAAGTAGGCCTACACAATATGATCATATTAAGTCATTTAGAACTGTATTTGAAGTTAGCGTCATTAAATAGACGATAAGATCGTACAACCTACTTACCAACTTTTGCAGCCAAGATTTGCTTCTGATTCGGATGGATAGGCTACTCCTCCATGATAGCAGGAACAGTCCACTGGAAGAACACATCTTCCGGATCCTTCATCTAGGACATAACCAGGAGAACATTGACATCCGGGAAAACAAGCTGTGTCGGGGCACACTGCATCACTTCCAATATTTGCACAAGTTTTCTGACACTGACGTGGCATCATACAGTTACTGTACTCTGCATTTTCACCACAGGTGCAACCTGCTGGTTCACAGCTCCATGAACCTTTATCGCACGTGCTACATCAAGATTTGAACGCAAAATTAATTGGTATTTAAATATTTTACATCATTATTATTTTGAGATGCATGTACAGGTTGTGGTGTACAGTATGTCTGTTGGGTTTTTTTTTTATAGAATTTTATTTTCTATTTAAATTTCTTTCATACCAAAACATTGTGGACAATGATAAACATAAAGTTAACAGAAAGATAGAGTAATATGAATCTGTAAAGCATGGCAAATCAAGAATAATTGAGCAAAAAGAATAAAGCACCGACGATTGGAATGGTATGACTACACAGTGAAATTGCCTGCTTGAGCCACCAATCAAACAAGTAATGAAAGAATGACCAGTAGACCAGTCATACATTCAATTATACACTCTATAAAAACGAGAAAAAAGAAAATATATTATGGAATAGCAAGTCGCAAGTCAGAACACATTAGGAAGAAACATAAATTTACCAAGTACTGCAGTCTAGGCTAAGCACATCAGTAGCATCGAATATGCGCCCGAAAGCCTCACAATGACATCTATCTGCTGGGATGCAGTTGCCATTGGCGTCAAAGACCTGACCAGGAGGACATGAGCATCCGGCTACACATGTGTCATGGCATTGCACATCGGACACCTGGGATCTACACGACGAATTGCATGAATTGTGGCATTCGTTGTATTCCGTTCCGCTGGGGCATTTAACATCTACAAAACAGTCAAATAACAATACCATCAAATGGTTGATACTGCAACAATATCATTCTCAACCGAAATCAATGACAGATGCCTTTTGAATGGATCAGTCTCATAATCACAACTACTGATGTAATGTATTATAAGAGGATTACATGTATTCAACATAGAGAAATTGGAAAAATTATGGTTACACATAAGCATATTTAACTGTACAGCTTTAAACAAATTAAAATATTCCATATTTAAGTCAGAAATTCAATCAAATATGACACATATAGTTAAGCACTTAATGCAATTATTAAGCTTTACAACAAAAGAATTTGAATTAAAAAAAAAGCGAGATGCTAAAATATGGGATAAAAAAAAATCCCAAAACCAGCAGCAAGAACTTACGACATCCCTTTGTTATTAATCTCCATGATACTTTAACAAGTTTGGCGCTACAATCTGCAGCATACTGTGAATAAATGCTACAGTGGCAAGAGGAGGCATCTGTACAACTGCAGACGTCCGACTGGCAAGTAGCGTAGTACGGATTCGGGTCAATTTTTGCATGACAGGCTGAACATGTGAAGAAAATGATGTAAGATATATGATGTGATGACAAAATACAAAAATATGTTAGAATAAAAACATTGATAACAACACATATTTTTAATGGTTGAATGTGAAAGATTGATACAATAGGAAAACTATGGAAAACTATGTGAAAACCCAAAATATAAGTATTTAAATAATTAATAATTGCTGGGAATTAATAATATAACCACCTTATGTAATAATAATAATAATAATAATAATAATAATTATTATTATTATTATTATTATTATTATTATTATTATTATTATTATTATTATTATTATTATTATTATTATTATTATAAAAAAAATACTTATAATGGTCACATTATTAAGAAGACACAACAATAGGGAATATATTTTGTGTTATTTTCCCTTAACGTCATGTTATGTTCCTTTAATCGTTTTTTTTTCAATTGTTCTCTAATTTCTGCATTGTTTAATTTCCCCTTAAGGCAAGTTTTAGTAACAACATTATTATTATTATTATTATTATTATTATTATTATTTTAATTTTTTTTTTTTAAAGAAATGATTTATGTGTTTCAATAGATATTGTATACATTTTACTTGTCGTTATTACCTGTGGTAAAGTTTGTTGCGAATAGGCCAATTAGAAAAAAACTAAATGTAGCCTATGGCGCGCATGGATATATATGGACGTGATATTTTAAATTGGCAGTAGCCTACATGCACTAATGTACATTACTTTTTATTGCACCATTTTTCATTTTGTTTCATTTATTTTTTCGACTATAGAAACAACAATTTCAAGGAAACATTAACACACCAATGATCGAAGATATCTAGAGTAAAAATATATACTATCACTCAAAAAGATTCTGCTCCCCCTCAAAATGTTTAATAATTAATAACTGATCTACAGTGTCAAGAACTATCTGAAGGCTGTTTTTGATGACAACAAAAATAAACAAAACAGTTAGAGATCTTAGCATTTTGCTTTGCCACCAATTTACCTGCAAATGGGCCTAATGGATTCAATATGTTGGCGCAAAGTTCGTTCGCTACTGGTTGCATCTCCTCGTATACAATACATGATGGAACAATGGGGGTGTAACTTGGAATACATGTTGAATCCACCAACCAGTTATTCCAGAAAGAGTCTTTGTTTGTTTCCACAGCTCCTAAAACAAATAATTAATAACAAATACTTTATAACAATTAGCCATGTTTCTGATTATTATATGTAGTATTGTAACCATTTTGATTAAAATCAAGCTTTACCTCCTTTCACAATAGGAAACCACTAGCAATATATCATGTTTTGATTATCCTAAAGTTTCAAAGTCTTTTTGAATTTCTTTTCAACATTCATCATGACGTGGTTCCTGGCTTTCTCAATAATTATACTGTATGCTCCAAGCCAGCTCCCACATTTTGCTCCTTGAACTGCATTAACTTCAACAATCTATGTCAACTAAACTCAAACACTAAGATGCAAGAGTTTTATTTAACTTACCGTTTGGAAAGCGCTTTCACTCAAACCGCAGAACTTACCAACTATTGACTGGGTTTCAAAAAAGATTAATACTATTGTACCTATTTAAACAATGTTCTAATAAGTACATATTACCTTTTATTTGACATGTCAATTTACTTAACATGTCAAATTTTATATATGGCTACACAACTCTCTGGAGGAGAAGACCATCATTCCTGATGATGACATAATTAATGTCGAAATATTGAATCCAGACACGATGGCCTGCATTTCGATACTTGGAGTATGCTTATCTGAGATTAATCAGGTGGACCTTTCGGAGAAGACCATTTGTAGTAGCATCTATCAGCACATTCAAATTTCATCCTATCGGATACTAATTACATTTCTGCTGACAGAATCAATGCAACATTGTTATATCATTGGGTAACTTAAATAAGTGGTCAAGATTCCAATCCCCAAACTTTCGATTAGGCTACCGTACAACCTTAATGCGATAACGTCATCGTCACCCATGTATGTCTAACGAACTGTCTGTTTTTAAACACCAAAACATTATATAACTGAACCATTAATAGTGAAGATCAACATAGGCCTACCTGAAGGAATTAGAAATTCATCAGCAATGTTGTTGTTGAAAGTCCCACATAAACCACACGTTGCACCAACAAGGTCATTGCTTGCGAAAATCTGAACACGGGCCTTCTCATCAAACAATATCTCAAATCCTATATCTAAAGTTATCTGATAAGAAAAACATGAAAACTTAAAATTTTTGACCTGTACTTTACTGCTGCAACACTGCACTATGCCGGTTATTATTCTTCCAATTTTTAAAACATAAATGCCATTATGTTCACAATTATAATGACATTTTACATATATGGATCAGATATCATTTTGTGACTTTTGGACATCCCATATATATGGATATTTCCTGCTGAATATACTTGGCAGTTGGCTTCCATACGGTAGGCTTAGTTCACTGGAACTACCTGTTACTGCTGCCTTTGTATCATTATGATACAATGATACATACCTTGATGACATGCAAGGCGGGCCTTTCTATGAATATTCCCGATTCCGACCACGGGAAGTTGGCAAGCTCTTCCCCATCAGCTATCACTTCACTTGCATATCCAATACGAACTTCAGTTCCTTTGTGTAATATTTTGATAGCTTTGCGGCACTGGTTGTCTTCGCCGGTGGCTTCTGCATAACAGTTCTCAGTACTCAATCGGATCTCGTATGGTAAGCCTTCATTTCGACAGTCTTTCACAAGGTAGTGCTCGCAGTTTCCTTCGTGGTAGTAGAACTTACTATCGAATGTTTTAAAAAAGCCTAAGCCGGCTGTCCAACAGGTAGCTGTAGAAAAATAATTACATAATATGATTTCAAGATGTCTGTTTTTATCGTGTAAATTTGATATTACCTTTTTAAAATTATATATTTTATTATATGATGTTTGTTGTATTTACCTCCACATTGATTTTCAGTGCACTGCCATGTCCCACTGTTGCAAGTACTGCAAATTAAAATGAAAAACAGAAAAAAAACAATATTGATTCGTTATTTGGCAATTAACACATTTGTAATAGTGGCACACATACATAACCGTGCGTAAAAAGAAGAAAAAAAAAACGAATGAAATCAAAACCTAACAAATAAAAGAAGTTAACAATACAACATTGTATGCACTCACACAGATAGACTTGCCACAAGTCTCTTATTTTTTATTATTTTTCTCATTCTGGACAGCGCCACCAACGAGAAAGTTAATTTATAGACGGAATAAAAAAAAAGAAATCGAGTATGGGACGCCAATTAAATTAGGTATGGCGCGCACTAAATGCAATAAAGAGTGAGTATACCTAAAATTAGGGCATGGAACCCAGGCTATCACACAGACAACGTGAGTTGAACCTACAGAGGGCAGCAAATCACAAAACTATAACAGTAATAATCAATTAACAATCAACAGGCAATGTGATACACAAAGTTAAAGCCACATTACTGGCAAAATTTCAGTTAAGAAAAATCTGATTTTTTTAATATATGTTATAAAGATTTATAAATATAAAAATACGAAATTGCTAGTTTAACTGAATTTAGACATTCCTAAACATGAAAAAATGTAAAATAAGACGGAAATTTGTTACGTTTGATTTTGTGATAGGTCTGCGAAGAAATAAGGCCTAGCCTAGTAGTAGGCGCCGGTGACATGAAAATTTGGGTACCATAGAGAAATTAGGTTGAACACTAAAATTCTCATTTAAGCAAAAATTTTGGGTTTGTCAATAAATTAAGTTCCACTCTCATTTTATATGGCCCTTACTCTAAAAGCTTTTGAGGAAGTGTTTTATCAAACCACCAGATACTGGTATGCATTTCCAGGCCTAGGCTATACACACAGCGTGCATCATTTTCAGTGGCTGTGGTTAAGCCTACGTTTGGGCCTAAAATGAAACACAAGACTGATTTATTAGTTTTAAATATTCCGTATTATTGTGTGGGGTATTGGTCATACAATAGATATTCTAATACATGAAATAAAGGAGTAAGCATTCTCAGAATTGAATGCATGTACAGGTACTTCATTGCGGAGCTACGATGGCCCACAAGGGACACACTGCAAAGAAAAAGAAATGCTGCAAACAAAAAAGAAACGCTACAAACAAAAAAGAAATCATGGAAACAGAAAAGAAACGCTGCAAACAAAAAAAGAAATGATGCAAACAAAAAAGAAATGATGCAAACAAAAATAGAAACGATGCAAACAAAAATGGAAACGATGCAAACAAAATAGAAAACACCAGCAAACAAACAAATGAAACGCTGAAAACAAAAAAGAAATGCTGCAAACAAAAAAGAAACGCTGCAAACAAAAAATAGAAACACTAGCAAACAAATAAAGAAACGCTGCAAACAAAATAAAAACACTAGCAAACAAATAAAGAAACGATGCAAGCAAAAAATAAAAACACCAGCAAACAAAAGAAAAAGCTGCAAGCAAAAAAGGAAATGCTGCAAACAAAAAAATGAAACGCTACAAACAAAAAAA